GATGCACACACAGTAGTGCACACACAGATGCACACACACACGCACACACACGCACGCGCGCCCCACACCCTGCTGTAGGGCAAAGAGACCAGATCCAGAGCCCCAGCACAGCCGCTCCCAGGGGAGCAGCGCGGGAGGGCACGGAGGGGCCCTGGCTAGTTTCCTGGGAACTAAGGGGAGGCAGTGTTCAGCAGAACTTAAACAATTCTTTTAATTTTAACATTTTCAATCTTTTATGACACAACTGAGCTGGAAGCCCGCGGGAGGGGGAGGCCGGCTGCTGGTGAGCACCCTTCCCACTTGCTGGGCCTGCGCGCAGAGACCTCTGGTCCGTGGTGCAGTCGCTTCTTACACAGGGTTTCACATGGCTCCGCACACTCTCTTAGGATGTTGGATGGCCACCTGCTTAGTTACTGTGCTAGGACTTAGTTAATTAATGCCCTGCGGAACCTATCAGGAATGGCTTTGGACTTGAGGGCCAAAACCAAAAAAAATGAACAACCACATGTCAATAAACTAGTCGGAGCTTAAATAAGACAGAAGCGGAAAGCTCATTCACCTCAGGGAAGCCCAGAGGTGAGCCTTGCGCTTTCTCTCTCTCTCTCTCTCTCTCTCTCTCTTCACATCCCATCTCTCTCCCCCCCCCACCCCCCATCCCATCTCTAGTTCAGCCTCTCCGTGCGCTGCTTCCCAGCAGGGCTCGCTGAGGGAGGGGGAGGCATCTGTTCTGGTGGACGGGATGCCCAGGCCCACGCAGACGAGGAGGCAGGCACTGAGTCTCACTTCCAGGGCCCTCTCTGGAGACGGGAGAGGCCCTTTCCCCACACACCAGGCCCAGTCCCACCCCACTTCCCCACACCTCCAGCTGCCATTTCCCCCTGGCCGGGCCCACGTGATGTTTGGAGTCCCCAGCTCAACCCTCCCTCCCTGCTAACTGAGACCCCCAGTGGGACACCCGCCACCACTCGGCTCCCCCACCCCACCCCGACACCTGTCAGCTCCGGCTCATAGTTCTTCCTTTTCTGAGGCCCTCCAGGTTACCCCCAAATCAGCCTGTGTTTGGCTGCAGTGTCTCTCAGAACTGCTTTCCTCTCATTCTCCAGGTCAAAGGTCATAGGCCAGAACCCAGGCCATTCAGTGTCCAGCAGCAAGGCTGGGTGGCTTCAAATCTATGCACCCCTCCCCCACTGCTCTTTCCCTCCAAGGCTCTCAGGGACCCTCATTCCAAGTCCGCTGTCCACCACCACCACCTGCCCTTCCACACCAGCCTTCCCCACCTGCCTCCTCCCAGAGGTGTGGCTGCCCTTCACCTGCTCCCCTTAGCTTTCTCAGAACCCTCCCTGGCGTCACACTTCTAAAGAGAAATAAAGCAGCCCGGCCGGCGTGGCTCAGTGGTTGAGCGTCCACCTATGAACCAGGAGGTCAGGGTTCAATTCCCCGTCAGGGCACGTGCCCGGGTTGTGGGCTCCATCCCCAGCGTGGGGCGTGCAGGAGGCAGCCAATCCATGCTTCTCTCAACAATGATGTTTCTCTCTCTCTCCCTCTCCCTTCCTCTCTGAAATATATAGATACATATATTAAAAGCGTAATATGCAAATCGACCGAACGGCCAAACAGTAGAACAACTGTCCAGACGCAGCCGAGGCTGCAAGGGCCAAGGCAGCTGGTCCTACTCTTGCATGAATTTCATGCATAGGGCCTCTAAAATACACACACACACACACACACACACACACACACACACACATATATATATTA